ATTATTGGCCTAATAGCAAGCTGTAAAGTGTGGTAGGGGTCTGTCAATCTTCTTCCCTGTTGCACCAACTATCCTACAACTATCTTGCACCTACTATCCAAAGTCAGTGTGGAGCAACACTGGGTAATATCAAGGTCACAGACCTTGGCTTTGCCAGTAACATGATACTTGTTATATTTGTATGTATTACTATTTTAAAGACAACAGGTCTTAAGGAATAGTTTCTACTGTGCTCTCAATTACACATGACTCATTCAGGTAATGTTGAAGAAATTGACAAGTTCAGCCGTCGCTTGGTGAAGGTAACAAAGCAACACAATGAAGAAGTCAAGAAACTGCTCAAACTTATGGGCATTCCATATGTGGATGCTCCCTGTGAGGCTGAAGCTCAGTGTGCTGCCCTTGCCAAAGCAGGAAAGGTAAGGGAAATGCCTGTAGTAAAAGAACAGGGCTCAATGAGACTTATTTTCGAGAAAGTGAGAGTGAGAGATTGATTTTGGAAGTAATTTTTTTTTTCTTTATGTGGCAGACAGCTAGTGCTTATATAATATCAAAGTTGCATTTGATGTAAAATAATTTGATTGAACCACATAAGGGTAGGAACTAAAATTAGCTTCACCCAGTAACAATAGGTAAAAAATTGCAAAATTTTGGGAGGATGGTATTCAGTTATGTGTTCTGTTCAGCACCTGTGTTATTGGCTGGCTCATGGTATTATATATATATTTTGTCACTGATATGCAAAGAAGAACAATAAAGAAAAAAAATTGTAAGGAAACGTAAATAACCAAATAGTTTAGGAGAAGCTGCCTCAGTGTTTTTTTTTTTTTTTTTTTTTTTTTTTTTTTTTATTTAATTAATTTATTTTTTATTTTTATTTTTTTTAACAACAATGTCTGACTCGACAGGTATATGGTGTGGCAACTGAGGATATGGATGCCCTGACCTTTGGCACGCCGGTGTTGTTGCGACACATGACCTTCAGCGAGGCGCGGAAGATGCCCATCAAGGAGTTCCACTTGCCAAAGGTCCTGGAGGAGCTGGAACTCTCTCATGACGAGGTGAGGACCAGCTGAAACTCCTCCTCTGAGGATTGGGTGTTTGTATTATGTAGTGTGTATATATTTTCTGTAAAGGGCATTCGGTTCAGGTTTAAGACGTTAGCATTCGTGGATTCCTATTTCTTGTACTTTATTTTGTCCTGGAATCCTCACATAGAGAATAATGAGTAAAGGAGATGAATGTACCAACTTTCATTTGGAGATATTCAATTTCATAAATACAAATACAGTAAGTCCCCAACTTAAGAACATAATGGGGACCGAGAGGCTGTTTGTAAGTTGATTTGTTTGTAAGTCGAAAGTCGGGTCTCCATTACCTTTTTTCCTATTGTTTTAAAGTTTTGTTTACATTTAGAATACCTGTAAATAAATCCCAATAAGTACGACATACCTTATACAGTACCAGACTCTTGAACTATATTTGTGCCCGGGAAATTTGAAGTTTGCTAGCATTTTCCAAACAATTTTTTGGACTTTAGTACTTAAAAAATTTTGTTTGTTATGTATGGAATGTTCATAAGTAGAATGTTCTTAAGTAGGGGAATATCTGTACCTTATTGCAGTTCATTGATATGTGCATCCTCCTGGGCTGCGATTACTGTGACAGCATTAAGGGCATTGGGCCCAAGCGTGCCATTGAACTCATCAGGACCCACAAGTCAATCGAGAAAATCGTCGGCCAACTGGACAAAAAGAAATACCCAGCTCCTGAGGATTGGCCGTATACTGAGGCTAGGAGGCTGTTCATTGAGCCTGAGGTGAAAGCTGCTGAGGAAGTGGAGGTAGGTTTTGCAATGGATGGATACTTGTCTGAAATATATGTATATGTATGCATATATATGTGTATAGGTATGTGTTATAATCAGGCCAAAAGCATAGAATTGTTGAATTATAGTATCTCGTCAGTCTTTATCTTTAATCTTAAAATGCATTCTTTCTTAGTTTTGATTTTTTTTTTCATCAACCAGAAACTTTTTGTCTTGCTTTTCATATACCAAATATTTGTATGTTGGTTCTGAATATGGTTCTGAGTGAAGAGGGTTTTTTTTTCAATTCAATATGAAAGTCGCATAAACAACACTTACTCTTTCATTACATTTTTTCGATCATGGAATAATTACTGTCTTTCAACTCAGCTCAAGTGGAACGAACCAAATGAGGAGGAGCTGATAAAGTACATGTGTGAAGAGAAGGGCTTTGCTGAGGACAGAATACGCAACGGGTGCAAGAAGCTGACCAAAGCGCGCAACACCACAACACAGGGACGACTCGATTCCTTCTTTAAGGTTCTGCCATCCCCAACCAGCACGTCTAATAAGCGCAAGGTGATTGTTGTGTGTGGGTTGGGTTTTGATGTTAATGGTTTGATTGTTTTCTTAATTTTTTTATGTAGGCTTTCCTTGTTATTATATTTGTATTTTTGGTTGTACCTTTTGTTTTTTTAAATTTCTCTTTTATTGGCTTTTATTTTATCCTAGTTGTCCTTATTGCCATTAATCATTCTTTTTTGTCTCCTCCTCCTGTTATCCTAAATTCTCTTATTCTTCGGAGGGAAGAACCTGAAAAGAATGCTTAAAGATCCATAGATACTATTCCCTTTACTTAATATTTTCAAGGATATTATCATTTTTTCTTGCATTTTTCTAAACCATGACCATTCTTCTTTTCACAGTCAAATGAAAAACCTGGATCAGCAAAGAAAGCCAAGACCGGAGGCAGTGGCAAGTTTAGGCGGTGAAATCTCAGCTGTGAGGCATCAGCTCGACAAGAAACCAATTATTTTTTTCTTTTCATTTTTTCTCTTTTTCTTTCATACTCCATTTGAGATTACCTTTTGTAATGTCTTTTTGGTGTTTGTAGTTGCCACATTCGTTTATCTTTTGGTGTTCTTGTATGTTTTTTTTTTTTAGTCTTGTATAATTTTTACATTTGCTTTCGTCTTTGTTATCTATTTTTTTAAGAAAAGTTCTTTTAGGATCTGGTATTTTTTCTTACAGTATTTGTGGTGTGTAAGTAGGTATCAGAAATAAAGTTTTTTTTCAGCAGTTGGTAACCATTTCTCTGTTTGACTCTTTAAAAGTTTGAAAGCTTTATCTGTTATTACAGAAGAATGAACATAGATATCTTATATACAACATTCCCTTGTAATCTGTAATAACCAGTGATTCAGTGACCAGTGAATAAAGGGAAGCCATTTCTGTTTGTTGTTTCCAGCTTATCCTTTGACCTGATAGAACTACTGCATCTCTGTTGAAAGGAATGCAAATGTCCGATTATATTTGTTTCAAATGAATTATCAATTTTGATATGTATGAAAATGTTTTCTGGATCTTGTTTAGCAAACTCAGGAATGTAGAAATTCCAAAATATGCCAAGAATCTAAGGTAACCCTTATTGTTTAAAACTTGGTACAATAATAAAAAACAATTATCATTAATGTTAATTTGGGGCTCAAGAGTTCCACAGTTTGTACACAACATTCCTATATAATCTGTAATAACCAGTTGTTTCAGTGACAAGTGAATAAAGGGAAATAATTTGTGTTGTTGTTTAGTTTATTCTTTGATCAGATAAAACTGCTGCATCTCTGTAAAAGGAATGCATATAGATTATATATTATTTCAAATGGATTATTAATTTTGAGATGTATGAAAGTTTTCTGGTTCTAAACACTTATTGTCTTGTTTAGCGAAGGTAGAAATGAGCCAAATCATAAATAGGCCAAGAATTTAAGGTAACCCTTAGCACAATAGTAATAAAAAAACATTGCCATTAATGTTAATAATACACTCAAGATCACAGTTTGTGTTTTGGGTCTTCAGTGGTGGGTGAAAGAATTTAAAAGTCCTCTTGCTTTATTGTTCACAAATGGAACAATTATTATATGAAAGAAGCATAAACACACTGATATATTTCAGTGCTTGATTAAATGATAGTTATTTTACTTTCCAAGGCTTGCATAGTTCTGTTAATCAACAGTGGCAGTCAACAATTGCAATGTTAGAAATTGCATAAAATGTAATAAATCACAAAATCCAGTCATTTGCATTAGGCTTCCATGATTAGTACTCACTGGTATGTTCATTCTAATTCATGTTGCCTTATTCTTTCAGTGTGAAAATAGAAGATTAGAATAAAGAAATTATAGCTTTGTGACAGTCTTGCTGTAATGATGCATATGTACATTACTTAAGCATTACTTATAAATGAACTTGAAAATGGATCTGCATTTTGTTTTGAGTTTAAATATCATATAGTAACCCTCTTTTATCTTTAGGGTACAGTGTACTATGTTACTCATCTTTGCTTGAAAACATGAGAAATTACTAGAAATATTGATTCATGAATTTTGATTTGATTTCATAATGATTGAATAATCTAAATTATCGTATGTGAACTTTTCTTCTATTTCTGTTTTATTTATTTTTATTCATATTTCACCAATTCCACTATTTGGAATTTTTAATCTTTATAGAACTTTATTCACAGGAGTCACACTTCCTCTAATGTTTTACTTGTCTGAAAATACACCATTACAGATTTTAATTGGAACCTCTCCCTTCATACAGAGCAATAAAGCAAAATTTAGTTATGAGATGTATGGTTTTTTTTACAATCATAAGCCATGAACTTTTCTAATTTTGAGAAGACTCTCAAGAAATTTCTTGGGCTGGGTTGAACTCCATTGAAGAAGGAAAATAACATTTTAGGATAAACTGTCATAAAATCAGTCTTAATTTTCTTGATTGTAATAATGTGTATTTTATATAGTATGTTTTGGAAAGATGAAAAGAGCATGAGAAAAACATGAAATTTATCCTTCCTCTTTTTTTGTTTTTGTTTTTTTGCAATTATCTGAGAGCAAGAAATGCCTAAATATGTGTTTTGTATGTTTTGCAAAAATACACAGTTTGGAGAGCTATAACATGAATGCAATAT